ATAATAGGCAGCAAATAAAAAATTAGCATTGTGATTTCAAGTGATTGCTGATGGCACTGATCGATAGAACTAGCTGAGAGGCAGGCGAAACGAAGGACCCGCACGGTGTGATAGTGAACGCGTTAGCCCCCGGAAAGGGTAATAGCGCGTTCGGCGATTTGGGTAAATTCTAAAAACCTAGATGTAGGCAAGGAGGACAGCTTCGTTTTCACGAGAATGTCTCTGACTGGTCGTTTAACGTGACCGAGGCGCACTGCCCATGTAAACTCCGTGTCATTGTTCTCCATCACTAATCGGAAATCTGGTAGAGAACGGTGTGATGGTGTTTATAATGCAGCTGAAATTTAGGTCTCAGGTCTTTTTTTAGAGTTATTAAAGCATTTGGTTGACCTTGATTGCACATCACCCTAACTTGTCGAGCCTCTCAACTCGGAGAAAACCGTTGGAACGTTAGCTATCGTGAAAGAAATGTTTCTGTAACAGCCTCCAGTCTGCTCATCCAGAACATAGAAAATTCTTGAAAGCCTCATAATTGGCGCTTCAAGTATCTGTGCATCCACGTATGCAAATTGCAAAGGAATCTTCAATCACTTAAGGATGCTAGCCAATCTCAGCATAGTTTCGTCCAGCAAGGATCGCAAATGTGTGCGTTGATAAGATAAACAGTGGGAGGCAAACATAACAAGTTTCATTCACCAGCGATTAATGCTGAGAGCAAACTCTATTTCCTAAAAGAATTCTATTACAAAGCATTATCCTTTCGCTCATACGTTATTCGTCTCTCATAAGTGAGTTTTTTTATTCCAATACTGACGTTAGTTAAATAGACAAGCAGTTTAACATTTTTCGATCTGTAGCTGACAACTAAATTCCAAAAATAGTAATTTGACGAGCTTGAAGCGAATACGAATTCATGGTAAGCTTTTTTCCTATGTAAGGCAGTGTATTAATGGAAGTGACTGTGGTTATTCTGCACGACGATTTTAGCAAAAGCACAGATAGATGCAATTAACTGATTACGAGTCGATAAAGGAAAAGATTTCGAGTGAACTTCAACAAAATTCTCGGATGAGCTCCTGGAGATCACCGGAAAGAAATGTGGAAACAAAGTTGTTCAAAAGAAAAGCCTAGTGGTCTTCCGGTCGGTAGACTTAATTGGCAACCCTGGTACGCGGTGGGTACCAATAAGGCCTTTACTACCGCGAGTTGGTGAGATTGCATATGAAATCGAGACCATAAGCAAAGTCCTCTGATACCTTTTTGATCTTACAACAGCTTTATATATTTTTGCTAGTAATCTGGTACTTCTCCATGTTTTAATTTACAAAACGAACAATCACGTGGGCCTCCATAAATTCATGTGGAGCCAGGGATAATTCATGAAGAAAGAGAAGACACGAAAAGAAAGAAGTAGTTTTTTTAACTCATTTCTCACTTTTTCTCCACGAGTTTGTCGGATTTTTCACAGACGTAACTTCTCCGTCGATCTGTGACCTTCTTATTCCTATAGTATATCTCTATTGCAAATATCTCAGCTTCATTGAAGGTATATTTCGAAATATACCCTGCCATTAAAAAAAGTAGGAAGTAAATAAAAAGGTTAAAATTGTGATTATAACTATAGCCTCACTTTAACTGGGTTCAATGCCGATTTGGGCTCCCAGATCAATCTCGCTGACAGGTGATTGCTGATGGCAAAAAGATCGATAGAACTAGCTGATAAATAGACGAAACGAAGGTCTCGTATGGTTTGGTGGCGAACACGTTGCTCCCCGTAAAGAACAATAGTGCGTTCGTTTCTCACTGCAGACACCTGCGGTCCGGAGTTTTGCAAATATCTCAGCATCACTGAAATTACTCTTCAATTCAGTTTGTTGTCTTCTACTTTACATTAATGTGGCAGATCGTCACTTTTACTATCGTCGTTCATGAATGTATTCGTGGCTCGCGTGTGAGCTTAAATGGAGCTTGACCACCCGGTATTTTGACTTTTATCTGCATATTGAATTCTGATTTAGCACTGAACTGCCGTTACAGCAATGCTAGCACGTTTCAGCACTTTCATCACAGGTAGTCACTGGTCCTTGTTATTAGGAGAAAAGTCATCTGAAGATGGAAACATTTGGGCAATCTGGTTCTCCTCACCATGGCCTAGTGGCATTAAGCTCGCATAACATTTTGATCCTAAAGTACGGTGGCAGTCATCGCATAGCCATCATCGTGCTATTTCCTCTCGTTGGTTTTCGAACCTCTTAGTCTTTGACATTGGTCGCGCCATCTAAAGGTCCATTAATTCATTGATTTGTGAGCATTACACTGTACATTTTCATTCATCCACCAAAACATGTCCGCCGTTGTTTTCCATTCATAAGTGGCTGAAATTGTGTATAGCTTAAAAAATAGGTTTCTATGTATGTGTTAGTTCATTTTTTCATGCCATATTTCGAATTTACCCCTGTTAAAAATAACGTGGAGCAGGTGACGATTCAAACCTGCCAAAAATGAGTCTTTGTATGCATGCCAAGAGTGAAGCACCCAATGAACCTTGCTTCTTAGATTCTTTATTGGTAGGTTCCATCGCGAGCTAATCATTTCCAACCACAGACAAGATGTTGAAAACACCAGCAAAGCATATTGTAGGGAAAATTAAAACACTTCACTGATTCACGTTAAGATGATCATGTTGTCTGGCAAAGAGTACGGTAGGATGTTTTCTTGTTATGGCCCCCTTTATCTCGAACTTGTTTATCACCGGAGTGAGGATTTTCACAAAGAACGATAAAGTTGTCTGAAAGAAGGATGCGCAACACACAGAGAAAGTGCGCTGGCAACACCATGAGATCACTGCAATTCACTTTGAAAGCTGTGCGGAAAAAGAAAAACAATAACAATTATCACGCAAGCAATCTGCAGCAGTGGTAAGGATGAGAGATCGAGACACGCAGGTTATCAAGAGTTCATTCAGATTTAAAACGAAAAACTCCTCATTGAACAATGTGATCCGTTTAATGACTTTTAGTGCTTCTAGTGCGTTCTGCATGTTTCTAGTTTTGCAACAGCGATTCATCATTGGATCCATTTATAAATTAGCCAAATTTATAACACCGAACTAAAATTTGAAAGCATTTCTGCTTAAAGTGGCAGGTTAAAAGCTCACCTCGGGACTCCAGGAAACCACAATTTAACTAGAAAATCCCCGAGAAATGGAGATTATGCTGAGTAAGCATGATCATTCACAATATGGTACTGAAACTATTGTAACCAAACTTACTTGATACCTGAATGGCCCGTCCTCACTGGTTGTGCGGGCCACAACATAATCTCCATTTTTCGGTGATTTGCTGGCTAAGCCATTGTGGTTCCTTAGAATTCCGTGGTCAGCCTGGCCGAAGTCTGTCCCGAATGATTATAGTGTTGCGGAATCTTGGTGGGATGTAAGGCGGTGAGTGAATCCCCATGTTACGAGCATCGGCGACCTTTTTAGAATTTGTTTGTATCTGTTAATGGCAATGGAAACTCGAATACATTTGAGCGCTTCAAATGTTTTTCTTTATAAGTAGTTTCCGTTCCTTCGTTTCTTTTGGTGTTCTAAGTCAGCAGTCGAGCGGACAGTTTAAGATCACAAATTCTCAGCCACTCAGCCGTCTATCTGCCTTGTGAATATTTAGTAAAGTTCGAAAATTGTTCGAGTCTCGACCGAATCTTATCACTATCATGGTTTGGGACCATGTGAAAAATCATGAGAGTTGATTTATTTCGAAAAAACACTCGTGATCAATAATTGCTACCGTTTTGTTCTCTTGAAACTCTGGAAAACTGGGAGCAACTTCTAGTAGACGTTGCCAAAAACATTGCACTGTTCTATTTAGCATTTCTTCGGTAAGACGCTTTCTTATCACAGAATCTTAGACGCCACTTCATTTTTTTTAATTTTTCAAACCGTTGGTTAAAAACCAAAACCTATTTAATTGCAAAAATTTTGGTCACTTTATCGAACTTTCTGAAGCTACCTCTTACCCTACGTGAGACAGACCTGATCTCTTTCTTCACTGTGACCTTGGACTTTTTCTCTCAAATTCCTCGTTTATATATCACATAGGTAACCCTGAGCTACTGGAAATCCATTTATTACTTCACTTTGAGAGAAATGCAAACATTTCAAGAATGTTGCAATTTTCACCAAGTCGACGACGGTGGACGAATGGCGCTGGCGAAATGGAGGACCGCTTAGGACAGAAGAGGTTAACAGGACTGTCTATTATTCACTGGTCTATGAGATCCTTTAAAATGCTGGAATTGATGTTGTAAAAAAGTAGTCTCTTCTTCACAGACGTCTGAACGATCGTCGTTGTTGAGTCTTTTCTGCATCGTTGACGGCTCTATGGATTAGTACCTTACATGCAGCAGTTTTAGCTGCATTCAGTGTTTTATCCGCTACTTCGTTTAAGCCATGAAATTCCAAGAAAAAGCTTTTCATTCCGAAAAATGCTTTAAAATGTAATTCCTTTAGGGATCCAAGAATGGCGTCCGTATTCCAGAAGCACCAATTCACCGTGGTGACAGTTGTTTGTCAGGTAAACGTGAAAACAATGGTTCAGATCTAGTACACTATAATTGAACGAAAAGATAAATCAGTCGAAAAAAGTGTCGACCACAGATTTTCAGTTAAATTTAAAATTGGCGGTTTTTAAATTTAGAAGAAAATTTTTATTATAATTGATTTCTTTGTAAAAGTCCAGAGGTTACGCATACATTGCTGCCATGTGCGAATAGAAGCGCTATTTCTTAACCATACAATTTTTTTAATGAAACAAAAACATTCAAACTAAAATTACCAATAAAAATGGACTAAGCTAAAATTTGAAAAGATTTTCGGTACCTAAAGAACCTCTTTTTCTCTTTTTGGCTAGAATTTCACCATGAATGCAATTCGTTAACGTTATTTCTCACAACGTATCAAGAAGAATTTCATAATAATTTGATCTACATCAAAACTATTGCTGTTTCAGGCAATATTTATGGTGTTGTTTGGTTTATTCGCGAAATATGACGCGAATGCAATGCCCAATGGTTCTGAAGACTCCGACTACATGGCATCAAAATATCCAAGTGATTTGCTTTCTCTAAAATCGATTTATCGAATCTCGAAGCATATAAAATTGCTCATCCTACTCTTATGCCTATATTATCGTTTTATTCGGAATTTTAGTGTTCCAAGACACACATGTGATGATCTTCGTCGGCTTCGGATTTCTAATGACATTTCTGAAGGTGGGGAATGATCAATCTTTTTTTAGCGACACTTTTCGGCTTATCAGAATCGATCGGCAGCTCGATTATCATAAAGGTCTTTGGTTAAAATAGTCAATAACAAACATTGATATCTTTTAATAAATGTTTAGCGCTATGGCTACTCAGCCGTGTCTGTGAATTTGCTGTTAGGCTGCTTCACCATCGAATGGAGTATCATCACGAACGGTTTTTTGAGCAAAGAGTTTGACCGTGACGGAAAATTCGCCATCGGCCTCGATCAGTTAGTTATCAGTTATCACTTAATATTGAAATTTGTTTTGTACAGGAGTTATCAAACGTTAAGCAGGGTGAAATAAATATTCACAATGTTGACTTTTTATTTACTGCCTTTTTACAAGTTTTCACGGCAGGGTGTTATTTGTGAAGGAACCACAATAATGCTGAGATATTTGCAAAACTCCGGACCGCAGGTGTTTGCGGTGGGAACCGACGCGCTATTGTTTTTTTCGGGGAGTAAAGCGTTCACCACCACACCATGCGGGTCCTTCATTTCGATTGCCTCCCAGCTAGTTGTGTTAAAATAAATATGTCTCCTTCCCATGACCAAGATACCACAACTTTGAATAAGACATGTATGGAGGGGCTGGGCTGTGTCAAATCTCAGGACCATCCTAAGCTGCCTAAGTCGCATAGGACCAAGGTGACCCTTTGTGCCAATAATTCACATTCACTTGCATCTGAGTCCTCGATAGAAAACGTGATCATGCAGGCAAGAAGGATAAGGTAAGACATCATCGGATTGGCTGAGACGAGAAGAGGCCACCCATTTCACTCCGTCTATAACAGCGGAGCTGGACTATTTCTCGGAAAATTCGACAGTAGTCGGTAGAGTTTGCATCCTCGTCAACAGAGGATTGGCCATAAATATCGATACTTCCGATCAACTAATAACCCGAATTAGACATTTACGGTTGAAGATATGTGACCGGAAATGGTATTCATAATCCTCGTCATCTATGCACCAAGATCAAACTTCGATGAAGACGATGTCGAAGCACTTTATCTAGACTTGAAAAAGTACAACCACAACGATGCTGAGATATTTGCAAAACTTGGGCTCGGGTCCAAATCGAACCACGATTTCCATCCCTTTAGGCTCGCGCATTACACCCGGCGTCACGGAGGCACTTGCTCTAAGGCTCCCTCAGCTAGCTTTCGACCTAACGCTGCTATCAGGAATCACCCGTCAGCGGGGTTGATCTGGTGTAAATTACAACCACAACGATGGTTGTAAATTACAACCACTATTAATTCACATCATATCCTGCCGTGAAAAATTATAGTAGGCAGAAAATAAAAGGCTGACATTGTGATTTCGATCACAACCTCAGCTTATGTGGCTTCTATGGGTGATTGCTGTTGGCAACGCTAGGTAGAGAACTTGCTCATAGAATCGCAAGGGCCTCCGTGCCGCAGTGTGTAATGTGCAAGCCCCCGCAAAGGGTTGGCCTAACGTCCAAGTTTTGCGACTACGTCGGCATCGTTGTGGCTGTAATTCAGAGCAGACTCTGCCGTGAAAAAATTAAAGTAGGCAGAAAATAAAAGGTTAACTAGAAAAAATTTTACATGGAAGACCACATCGTCTTCAAGGTTATCATTGGAGACTTTAACGCGAAGATAGGGCCAAGAAGAACATCTGAAGAACGTCGCTTTGGAACCCACACATTAGAATGAAACGAGCAAGGTGTGCCGCTGTCCAAGGTTGTCATAGTGATCAAGCCATGGTAACTCACAATTACAGAAATTCCGATCACAGTGCTGTATGTGGGAGTGACCAAAAAAAGAGAACCATAACAAAATAGATCACATCATAGTAAATCATAGAGAAGGTTTTCCTCAATCGATGTCGTTAATGGTCCAAAATTTTACAAGGGACCAAACCACCTTTTCCTTCGTGCTATATTTCATTTTTTGCAAAAACAGGAAAAAGCTGCCAAATTCGAAAAAGAAGTCCTAAATCCACTACAAACTGGGATTTTTCAGCTCATTAGCCGGCCGCTGAGAAAATGCCTTCCTTGAAACTAACACGAGAAACACAATTGGTCCGCTTAATATCTCAACGTTAGCTCTGTGAAAGCCGGGAGTTCAAAAGTCACGAAGAGAAATCTGTCTCCAGAAACGCTCGAGCTGATACGCCAGCGTGAAATCGTACGAGTTGCAGGTAATCACCAACTAAGGTCCGAACTTGCAAAATAATGAAGGCAAGTGATAAAAGAAGATTTTAGATAGAGAAGGGCAACGGTTATGGTCTAAGCTTCAGAAACTGGGAAAAGCATTAGCAGAGCCCCACCGAGGTTTTGCCAATAACAAAACCAACTCCTTTATGCACTCCAATGTCCAGACAGAACAGTTACAGGTTCCAAAATGGCAATGGAAAAAGTCGTTCACTTCTACTACTCGGATCTCCTTAGTAGCTACGTTCTGCTGCCCATATGCGAAATAAGGGAGTATAATATACACTTCCAGGCGTTCTTACCTCCGAAACCAGAGATGCTATGAACAACCTTTTGCCAGTCTTCGTAGGCCCAATGACCGTTCTCTTCACACGTTACATGTCAAATTGCAAGGTTGCTATTCTATGGAAGACCAGTAAGACTGTATTATTGTTCACGAAGGGTGACAGCTACAGCATCGACAACTATCGCCCAATCTGCTGCGTTTCTGTCGTCTACAAAGTATTTGCTCAAACCATCCTAAAAAGATTCGTCAGAATACTGGGCGAAAAATAGCCAGGCAAACAAGCAGTGCGTCGAAAAGGATTCAGTACGATGGATCACATCTGCACAATAACAAGACTCACTGAAGTATCCCAAAAGTACAAAAACCGTTCTATCTCACTTTTCTCGATTTAAGGAAAGGCTTTGACCTAACTGAGATAGAAGTAGTCGTGGAAGCCGTGGAAAGTCAAGAAGTCTCTACTCAGCACATAGAGATTCTTCGTGAGCTTTACATATATTTCACAACCAAGATATCACCATTCTACAACGGTATTAACGTCGACATCAAAAGAGGAGTTAGGCAAGGCGATACCATCTCGCCAAAATTATTTACCTCCACCCTCGAGAACGTCATGCGAACATTGGAATGGGACAGCATGGAGTGGAAATTGGTAGTCAGCAATCATATCTTCTTCGCTTTGCTGATTACGTCGTTCTTATAACACTAAGCACTAGCCAGGTGGAAAGAATGCTTGTTGACAGACATCTATAGGAAATCTCTTCGCTCTTGGAGTAAATTTCATAAAAACGACGTTTGTGAAGAACGGATTAGTATCGTATTATTCATTCACTCTCAGCGAATGAATACAATATTATGAATGACTTAGCTCCAGAGTTGAGCAGGAAAAAGTGATCGGCTTAAGAAGTTTTCAAAAGTACCGACGATGCAATGAATAGAACAAAGGCTGACCGTCTTTTCAATTCCATGATTCGCTCTGGCTTAATATGTGCGCCCAAAACCTTTTCTCTACGTTCTCAAGACGAAGTGTCGCTCAACGTTTTTGAATGCGCATTCGAAAGTGCGATGCCAGGAGTACCCCATATCACGCAAGTGGGGAACGCATCCGAAGCTCTGAGCTTCGTCAATGATCAACACTCAGAGACAAGGTTTCATTGACTCGATACGTCGGGATGTTACACGTACAGCAAAAAAATCGCCGACATGGTGGTCAGAGTTCTTCACAAAGGCCCTAAAAGAAAGGTACGATGCCCAACGAGTTCATAGAGCAAGCGGAGCCTACTGGGACACTCCTGCCCACGACAGAGAAAAGTGGAACGGTTGTTGGCGCTCGCACGAGTCACTCGACAATCCACGGGACGACAGGGGGTTGTTGACAAGCGATATGGTACCAACATCTTTAGGTCTTTCAAAATCTGAAACTGAGTAACTTTCAGTAATTAAAAATTCCTATATTAGAAAAAGCAAGTAAAAGGAACACTGATCATTTGTTTATAGGCTTCTCAGTGCTGACTTCGCGGCGGCCACTGTGCTGATTTCAATGGGAGCGATGCTTGGGAAACTTACACCTGTACAGTATCTCGTCATGTCGTTAATTGAGACGCCTGTTGCACTTGTCATTGAGCATCATGTCATTAACACATTTCATGTGAGTTTTCGGAAGCTAACTAGAGCTCATCCCGTCAGACGTTCCAAATGTCTCGCGTTTACACATGTCTCTCATCCAAGTAAGATCGTTCTAATAAAACCCATTAATTTTATTGAAGAATTGAACCGTTTTAAACCTAAATTCTGTATTAACATTCTTGTGTTCATCATTATAACAGCAGGCGAATAAGTGGATCAATAATCGAGCTAGTATTACTATATTACGACGCATCAAATTTTGATATCTCTAAGGTGAACGACGTCGGTGATTCCATTGTCGTTCATGCATTCGGCGCTTACTTTGGTCTAGCTTGTTCGAAGGGATTTGCTAGCAAGAAACAACGAGCCCACGAAAACGAAGGATCTGTTTATCACTCGGACATATTTGCAATGATTGGTTAGTTTCGCACCGCTAAAGAATGAGATAGTGATTTTTGGGCATGCCATATAGGAACTACATACATTCATCTTGTCAACAGTGGTATGCTACAGTATCCTTCTGTAAACTGTCCATTGTTCAGGGACAATTTTTCTATGGGTGTTTTGGCCTTCCTTCAACTCTGCCACGGCGGAGCCTACCGACGCTCGCCAGCGAGCCGTGTGCAACACGTTGCTCTCTCTCTGTGCTTGCACTATCGTCACATTCCTTGTTTCACAAGCTACTGACCGTCATGTGAGTTAATTAATCTGTATATTTCTAGAAATCTCTAAATCAAGCGGGCGCCCCCTTCACTGGACTCGACTCGATGTGACAACCAACAACCACATCGCGACGATGACCACCTCTGGACCGTCGACCCGGACTAATCCGGCTCTGAATAACACGACGACGTCAAAGCATCAGCCGAATAAAATTCACTGGCAACCTCGTCTTTGCGTAATAATCCAAGAAATTATTAAATATTTTATGGCTCTAGTCTTCTCAATTAATAAAGTAGATAAAAACAGCTTTATCCGTGAAATGGTCATCTCGTTTGATGTTCTCCTTATATGGAACCGAAGAACTAAATAAAACACTTAAGAAAAAATTTGACATGGTACATATCGCGAACTCGACATTGGCGGGTGGAGTCGCCATTGGTACGATCGCCAATGTTGTGCTGCACCCACTGCACGCCCTCATCGTTGGTGTGATCGCCGGTTTTCTATCAGTCCTCGGATTCAAATACATCACGGTAAACAAAAATTTTAAAGTACAAATACATTGCCAAGAGCATAAGCATACTAACAACAATACTGTAGACATGGGAAATATGCTACACGTTTCGGGATGCAACATCTCTAGGATATCATTCCAACTCACAAAGATGTTTTCCTATATGTGTTAGCTTTTATTTACTGCCCACTCTTTTTTTCGTGGCATGGTACGCCGTGCAGTACAACCACAACCATACTGAGATATGAGCAAACCTCCGAACCCGAGGTGGGCTTCGAGCCCGCGATTACTCTTGCAAGGGGTTCACATGCTATCCACTGCATCAACCAAGATCCTCGCTTTGCCTTGCTTTCAGCCAATTTTTTTACCCTAATGGTACTATTTGCAACCATTAGTCAACGGGAATGATTTGAAGATCAATAGTTAGTATTGGGCCATTTCAAGCTGAAGTTGAATTCGAAATCGCAATGGCTTAATTTTTGTTTGCTGCCTGTTCATTTCCCATATTTAGCCATATTTTTATGTATTCATGTCTCATTGTATCAAGTGACGTTATTATTTGCCTTTTTAAAAAAATATTTTAGAAAAAAAATATAAATACACAAAAATATCTTCATCGCGAAAGTGAACTCGACGTGAACGTATTCTGGTCATTTTCAGCCTTTCCTTAGTAGTAGAGTTGAAATCCACGACACTTGCGGAGTGAATAATCTACATGGTATGCCAGGTGTGTTGGCTGGCTTGCTCTCTGCGATCTTTGTGATCATCTACAATCCAGCCAACTACGGTAAAAGGTGAGTTTCAGTCTGGGTTTGCTAACGTTGTAGCGCCACAGAAAAATATTATATGCCATCAGTGATGTAGTTAGCGTAAGCAACACATAGAAGGTTTGACTGGAATCTGTCAACTCATTAACATCTCTTTGCTGGCTAACTATATCATCTCACTGTGACGATGGGGTGTTCCAAGAAGTTGGTGATCATCCGATATGCAGCACGGTGTTCACTCCGTCCTTCATGGTTAGGGTTATTAGTGCTGGGAAAGCGTTCAGTATTTGTATGAAAACGTCATCTACGCAAATAGTCGAACGCCAGGAATCGCTTTTATACTTGGAGCCTGTTTGCCGAAAATTGTAGATCTCCGATTCATAATGGTTAGCTAGTGCTTATTGTGGTCTAGAAAAGTGGTGGCTCAAATATTTCAATACTCCAATTATTCTGTAAAACCAGCGACATAACCATGAAAGCAACGCTGTTGTGAAGCGCTGACGATTCGTTGTGAAGACCCCTCATTCATGTGTCAATTATCAAATACTTTATGGCCAATTTCATCTGAAATCAGCAAAATTCTTTTAATTCTGTCTGCTAATAATAATTTTAAAAAACCTCTTGATTCTTTTAGTTTAAATTTCATTTATCCGGCTATGCAAAGTCGCTCGAATACTGAAGGCATTTCGGCGGAGTCACAAGCTGTCAATCAGCTTATCGGCCTGGGTATGGTGCTGGTTAGCTCGATCATTTCCGGATTGTTCACAGGTTGAGTGTTTTCAAATTATAGCACTACAGATCGGCTATGGTAAAGCCACATTGAAAAAACCCATTTGCCTAGAATTTTAAGAAATTTACTGCGGATTTTGGGGAAAAAAAGAGCTGCACGTTTCCCTCATGAGCCTATAAATAAGAGTAGAGATTATCAAAAAAAAAGGTCAATTCTTAGTCGTATGGATTGACAATAAATTTTCTATGGTGGATTTGTGTTCACTAGCCAAGAAATCGCTCTCACTTTTTTGCAGAAAGCAAGTGTTATAATCTAACTATTAGGAAATTGTGTAGGGCAAGATTAAACCTAAGCCTAGCCAAAAGTGAAAAACCTGAAATTTTTATTGACGTAGGACTGAATTATTCTAAATTCCAGGAGTCATACTAAGACTGAAGATCTTTAACCAGGTGCATGAGAAAGTAATGTACGCTGATGATGACTATTTCGATGCTCCGGCCGACTACGAGTTCACTACTCAGGTAAGAAATTTTGCGAACCTAAAATTTCCTAAAATTATATCAATACTGTTAATTTCATACTCCTAATACATTTAGATTCGATTTGTTAGATTGTCGTTGAGCGATTTGTTCGACTACTTGTAAAAACCGCTGAAAGAACAGGAGTTGCTGCCGACCTGAATGATCCTAGTCGCAAAACAGCAAACCTCTCTCAAGAGGAAAGCGTGGCCATTTGGAAGCACCGATGATCTTATAGCAGGACACTTCATAATCGCATAGCGAATTGTGATCTTCTAGTATTTGGCATCTTGATAAGGAGAGCAAGCGACAGCACTTCAAACTGCAGACGAACCCACACGCTCTTCTGACCACTTCCATAGATGACAGATGGGGTACAACGGAACAGTTGGAAGAAGTGCTGAGGTCCTAATGCTATAGACCGACATGTCACCTAAAAGCACTTTAAAAATAGGAAAAAATACAGTAAGATCTGCTAGAGCTGTGCATAGAAAATTCAGTGGGAAGGCGGCATTATACGCAGCGGAAAATTCTTGTGTAAATAATGTATAGGGTCCTCACAAAGGCTTATTGCCTCATCACGGCTAGGAGGTGTTACTAAAAATCGAGCTCCGTGTGTAGAGAGAGGATTCACCTTCTAGATAAAAGATAAAGGATCAAGTCTCCACGTTGATCGATCCCTGAGAGATGTTCCATGCGTTCGACTTCATTAAGCATCGTTTGGAGGTGATTGAATGCATATGTGGCCTTTCCAATGACTCGCGGTGGCCTACCAATGCATCGAGCCAGTGCTGCTATACTCCCAGACAAGTCTGGTACCAGTTTGTAGACCTCTGAGGGATGAAAGACTTGATGGGCCATGGGCGCAAAGATCGATTCCACGTGTGCGTTGCAGGGCGCCTCCGACCGGCCACTGCTCCGCAGGAACTCTTTTTGTGTCATCTCCCATAAAGACCTACCAAGTTGAAAAGGATTCCGGCGTTTGTATTGCGAAGCACAGCTAAAAGCAAACCAATACCAGCATCCACCACTGTCCTGATATTGACCTAGGCGCATGGTGGTGAATCTACCTCTAATCCACAAGGGCTACGATTGCCTGTGGTGGTGACAACCTGGAGAAGACTTTGGCTAGGCTAACTTCGAGACTCCAGGCAACCACAGTGGCTAAACCAGCAATGCTCCGAAAAATTGGAAAATATGCTGGGGCTCGCACATGCAATGAAGATAGGGCATCCAAGTATGCAGTAAGTAAATTACATATAGGTCCACTCTTTATGGTATTTGGAATGTTATTTTTTGTGTATTGCATTTACTATTTTCATTGTCGCTTTTCATAACCGTATCGCGGTTTCTCCGTGAATTTTCTCAATTCATCAAGTACAAGGAGGCACATAGCTGTGTGTTATGGGGTCATTTACGCTCACCGTAGTCGATGATGTATCGAGTTCTTCATTAAAGTAGACAAGACAAACTTGTAGCAGATCTGCGTACAAAAAAATAGTTGGATCTTTGACTCACTTACGATGAAAATTATCAGGATATACTCCAATGGCGCATATAGCCCACTGGTTAAGAAATGTGATGAAATGCACATGTCCTTGTTACGATCCCGTCTCCCGGACAGACTTCTTCATCGATCCATGATTTCCTTGTTTGTACTAGACTTGATTGGGTGGGTAAAAACATTAACAGAAAACGCTGTTGGGCTAGCGGAAGCGAATACATAGAAGCAGTAGCTCCATAATGCCACTATTGGGTCCAGCACAGAGCGCATTCTTCCGAAGTTTACCAATGCTGGGTTCATCAATCTTTTAGCCCTTCTTTTAATGCGACATTCCCTGCATATTCTAAATTTAAGAAAACAGGAAAATCGGAAGAAATTAAGAAAATTGAGAAAATAAGAAGGAAACGAGGGGAATATTAGCTAATTTTAGTTTGTTTTTCTAGCTAAGGTATCAGGGTCTTCATTGTTCAGGTTGTCTCCCGAATCGATCATATCGAGATCAACGAACATACACAACTCAAACAAAAGGACACCAGAGAGGCTTTCGTTCCTCATCAAAAAATTATTTGCTAAAAAGAATGAACTACATTGAATTTTACTCCTCAGGTTTTGTTGTGCATACCATGTGATAGCTTCTTTTCTCGAGTTCTTTTCATACATTCCTAATGCACCACTGTTCTTTTCACTATCACACCATTAGGGTGTTAAGGGCTGCACACTGAAGTCATAACTTGAAAGAGTTGCACAACGATTTTAAAAGTGCACTTAATTTAAATGTTAATGCAAGCCAATTTTGTATTGTTATTGTACTCCTGATGTTGATTTACTTATTAGAACACGAATTATTGCACTAATAACTTAGGCCATGCGTAGCACAGTAGCTAGAATGCCTTGCAATAAACTGATCGCCAATGGTTCGCTTTTGCACCGTAACGAGCAAAATCGGCCGTCGTTCCGGTGTCAACAAATTGACATTGAGCAGGTCTTGGCTGGTGTAAATATTGAATTTATAATATATAACTTTTATCTACTGTCTAATATTTCTTCACGACAGGGTATTATGTGAAATACAACCACAATGATGCTGATATTTGTAAATCTTGGACCGTAGATCAGATCGAACCGTGTTTACCCTTTTCAGGGGCTCACGTGTTACGAGCGGCGCTACTGAGGCCCTTTCGTTCTGCCCTTCTCTAAGCCAGTTTTTTTTACCCTAGAACTAAAAAGTGAGAATGGTATAACGAGGGCCTCAATGATGCCGTGGGTAACATGTGACCCCTGAAGGGTTAACGCTGTTCGATCTGACCTGGAGTTCAAGATTTATAAATATCTCAGAATCATTTGATTGAATTTGTACCTGTTAAGTTGTTCAGCTTACAGAGTTGTTATACAATCTTCATTCGGCTAACGTTCAGGGCGTCTCTGTCTTCATCACAGCCGTTGGGACAAGTCGATGGTTCACAGTCGTCTGTACTCTAGATGCAAGGTCCTCGTTGTGGTACTGAGTCGGGTCTTCTTCAGTGGAACACCGCTCGAATTTGCCTACCCCATTCCCAGGTGTCCTTCTATAGAGAACAGTTGATTGGCTGGTTGTCGACTGCTCTATTCTAAGACCCACTTTAGAGGATTAGCAGGGACAATAAGGGCCAATAACCGTTTTGAAAAGAGCACTACCGAGTGAGATTACCGCATTCGAGCAGTGCCTCAATGAAAATGACTCTGCTCGATACATGCGAAGATAAAGACACCATGTCGAGAAGACGAACGACTGTGAACCATCGAAGCGGGTGATCGGCTCTTTAGAAGGCTAAGATATAACGCCGGTCCAACACATACACACCCACACACACATACACACACAAACACACATACACTGACACACACACAGACAGATGCACACACACACACAGACACATACACAGACACACACAGAGACACATACACACACGCACACATACACGCAGACACACACAGACAGACACACACTGACACACACACACACAGGCACAAACACAGACCCACACACAGACATGCACACAGACACACTCACAGACACATAGACACACATGGACACACACAGACACACACACGTAGACACACACAAAGACACACACACACACAGACGCACACACAGACACACAAACAGACACACAGACACAGATACACACACAGACACACGCACACAGCACACACACATAGAAATATACACAAGCAGAAACATAGAGGCACACAGACACACATTCATAGACGCACATCCACACAAACTCACATACACACGTGAAGATGCAAACAAGTAGACAAAAACACATCCCAGGACCGCCTTTCTTTTAACCTAGGCATTGATCAATAATAAATTGCTTTCTTCATGAGGAAACACGAGATTGTTAGCAGCAAGATTTATTCAATACAATGCTAGCTGACGTTTCGGCGGTTTCGCCCTCTTCAGACACATACACATTCTTCTATGCATACAATTCAACAGTATTAGAAATACTCGTACAAGAAAATGCTTAGCCTTCGATCACTTCTTACTGATGAGATTCAGGAATTCTTCTCGAGTTTTTGGATCATCTCTGAAAAACAAAGAACAGCTCCTCCCATTATTCCAACCACTATTCGCATTTATCATATATTATGTGGTAGGGTCGGGTGTGGAGCACTGGTTGGAGGCGGTCTGCAATGCACATGGGATTGATTCCCGCGCCCGTGGCTCACCAAGCCTTCCATCCCTACGGGGCCGGCAAGTCAGTACTAGACTCGCACGAGAGGATAGCAATATTTGCTCGATACATCAGTAGGCAACCGCGAGTCATTTTAAAGGCCAGATATGCATTCAATCGCCTCCACTGATGCTTAATGAAGTCGAAGACATAGCATATCCTTCAGGGATGGATCAACGCCGAGAGCTTCGTCCTTTATTTATATACAACTCTAATTAGAGCGGCGATGAAAAGACAGAGTGACATTTGACACTTCCACGTAGGGCCACATCAAGCTAAACAACGGCTTACCTTTAAACAATATTTTATCAAAAGTTTTCAGATTTATTTCATCGTCATCACATACAAAGTCTCAGAGAGCTTTCACATTGTCATGCAACAAGAAAATTATCAGAGTCGTTTTTAGGAGCACTTTTAGAAAACTAATCTTCTACGACCTCGCAAAAGCCGGTTTACCGCCTCATCGTGGCTGGGAGGTGTTCCTCGGTATCGGACTGCGATGGACAAAGATGGGATTCATCTCCCGTCAGGGTCTCCTAAGCTGAGAAGGAGACCGGCGTTTCCATCAGGAAGTCTAACTAAGAGTAAACCAATACCAGGATCAACCATCATCCTGGCAACAAACTAGTCGTATGTTGGCAAATCTCCCTCTGGTCCACAATGGTTGCGACTGCCTGTGGTGGTGAAGACCTGGGGCAGACTTCGGCCAAGCTGAACTCAGGATTCCAGGGAACCACAACGGCTTAACCAGTGAATCTCCAAAAAATGGAGATCATGATGTGGCCCGCACAACCAATGCAAGCTGGTGTGAAAAGAAAACCGCCAAGTTCTGTCTTCCTTTTAATTTTTGTGATTTTTTCTTGATTTCTTACCTGAAAACACCAAGCATACACGATGTCGACGTAGTGGCATTGATTTTTTGAACTCCTCTCATCACCATACACATATGACTGAAGGAAAAAACATTTGAATGCTGTGAATACAAGTAAATAAATAACAAAAATGAGACCCGCATATAATTAAGCAAGTACCAGGCAGTAGCAAATTCCCTAATTAGTTCGTTCCCTGCACATTCGGAGTAAGGTAATAGGGTAGGGAAGTGGTAATTTTATGTGCACTAATCAATAATTACTGAGACAGCAATCATCGATCAGTAATCACCATCAGCGCGTTAATCAATACGGCAATCAATACCGATTTCAAAGCATGCTTCTTACAGTTTTGTTTAACCCAAAGTGATTTTTTTCTATATCATTGATGAAATGACACATTGTGCTCAGTAGGCGAACATGAAATCGCCAGAAATTTGTCAAGATGTAAAGCGAAATCGATATTGAGGAAAGATTCGCAAATCCCAACTATTCAATAAGTAGGTTTTAAAGTAAAAAGTATGTAACCTGTGTTGAACTAATAAGTAAAGTCAGTATGTTTTCCAGAAGAAATGATTTCGTATACCGCGGAGTGCTGATGGTTATTTAAAATACAACTGTGGTCCCACCCAGAAAAAAACCTAAGGGAAAGAAAGCATGCAAAATCCTAGAAATGGGATGTGAAAAGTGAAAGAAAATAACGAAGACGGGAAATGTTTCCATGTCAGTAATTCTAACCAACCTTGCTTCAATGACAACGGCTACACCGGCTGGCTGAACTGCTTGTACCATAGCTGTCGCTATTTGTTTCGTTAGACGCTCTTGAACTGAAGTAAGCGGCACTTTATTTCTTTACTTCTATTGACTTCTATTATTTTCCGTTAGTCCAACTTGCCACTACACGACACAAAGTATTCACAATGGCAAAGCACTGGTCGTAAACGTAAGTTTGCAAAGACGTTTTTGAGGACACAAACGGTAAGAAAAAAACCCTTCCAGACCTAGAGAAACCGAACCAAAAGACGAAAATTTTTCAGTTTTTTACTACCGCAGTTATACGAATACAATTACTCAATACTATACAACACCTTGTAGGCGTCGACTGAACATCTCCACTATTCGAGCTAGTTTGGAAAGTCCAAGTACTTTTTTATTTGGAAGATATCCAATGTGAACCTGAAACATTTATTAGATCACAAGGAGGACATTTATTACCGTGTACTATCTTTTTATATTCAGTTCTTTTTTTTCTGGAATTCATAAAAGGGAAGCACGTACTCAAGAAAATTCACCGCTCGAAAAACAAAAACTGTTTTTTGTGAAATATAACCTCAATGAAACTGAGATATTTGCAAAACTCCGGACTGCAGGTGTCTGCCGTGGGGAACGGACGCGCTCCTTCCGGGGAGAAACGCGTTCACCACCACACCAACGAAAGACCCGCATGGTGTGGTGGTGAACGCGCTATTCCCCGGAACGGATAATAGCGCATCCGTTCCACACCGCAGACACCTGCGGTCCAGAGTTTTGCAAATATCTCAGCTTCATTGAAGGCATATTTCGAAATATGCCCTGCCATTAAAAGGAGTAGGCAGTAAATGAAGAGATTAAAACTGTTATTTGTATTCATTTCCTGGATTTATAAACAAAGAAAACGGAACACAGGAATCGTAGTGGCTCGAAGCCGCCTTGAATGGTCGCTGGTTGGACCTAGCTAGGGAGTAACCAAAGTCGAGAAGTTGGAACCAGATTTCTCTGGAGGAGGTTTCTTCCCATCCACGAAAGCTAGCGGCTGCCTCTGGGATGAATACCTGAGACAATTCTAGTAAAGCCGTCACAGTATTCCAGTGAGAATTATTCCGACCGACAGTTAACAACATTCATGAAGACGACCTTGCCTTCAAGTGGCAATTGTCATGAATAACGGAAGCGAGGCACTACGAAACGATTAAAGGGGTCCTGGGATCTTTATTATATGTGGTGCTAGACCATGTTAACAATAGATAAGTGAACATAGTAAAATGAAACGGGTGCTTACCTTCCCATTGAATGGCACTAAATGGTGTTCACATAATGAGAACATTTCAATGTCTTTCACGATGACCATTTCATCATGATCTTCATCAAACACGGCGTCATTCAGTATCTCTTAAGAAAAGCTCATCATTCAAATTTTTAGAAATCCTTACACCTTTGAAAACCAAACTGCTGTGGTGAAAGTTTTTTCGTCAAAGAAAAGCAAGATAAGGTGAAAAACTGCATTGTCATTAAAAGACTAATTGAAGATTCACTGCCTATAGTTGAGTACCTCTCAAGATGTATTGAAATGTGACCAGAGAAAACTTCCGATTTCTCTAACTTTTGTTCTATCTTTGTTCCAAAACGAGTCGGCATCTTATCACTTCATAATAAACGTTTTTTGTTTAATATTTAGTTATACTCCTTGAAACAACAACAGTGACAAACACCGAAAGTCAATCATTATCCATGTTTTGTTTTGCGTGGCACCGTCTCAGTGCTGAGTAAAAACCACAACTTCTATGAAAATTCATTTTTCTTTATCACGACGCTTGTTCCATGTTACAAACGTTTTTTCTTGCTGAGCTAAATAACGAGTGCCTATTTTGCCCACTGGGGAGCATGCAGCATGGCGGTTAGAAGTCTGCTGCAGAACTCATGTGCTTTTTGGTTCGTTCCCACACAACAGAACTAAGCAGACCCGTCATCGTTTCGCGATCTTCAAATTGATGCCAGACTTGCATCGGAAGATAAAAACACCTATTTGATGCATCGATAAGCCCATACAGTTTTTTTTGTGGGTCAGATAAGATATGCATCTTACCACCCCTGTAGTGCTATGAATGGATTTCAATGCGTGGCTCTTTCCTAAGAAACTGCAAACAACGTCGAGCGTTTTATCTACCTTGCCCCTTTTGCTCTTCTACTTTTTTACTTTATTTCGTCAAAATAATGTCAGAAGAGTGACTAAAGTTGGCTAAAAAAAACATAGGCCTAAATTTTTGTAAAAGGCTTGGAATTTGTACAAACCGTCTAAGTTCTGTTCGTATCCTTTTGTAAAGTATAACATCGCTTTTGCTGCCCTTTCTGGTGTCTTCAAAAGACCTTCTCGTTTCACATCTTCGCCAACATGGGAGATAATCGTCGAATACGCTGACACCATGTTTTCCAGATTCAAAGATTTCTTTTTCATTGGAACGGGAGTCTGGAAAAATTTCAATCCTTAAGAAGGAAAAAGTCCGAATAATGATAACTCTGGAAAAAATAACAAAACTCAGAAGAGTAGTCTACTTATTAAAGATAGAAATCCTAAACTACTCTTTCTTTTGCTTTCCATTTTTTCAATGAGAATCTCATAAAGACTGCTGAGGAGATCGAAAGCCAGTCAGAAACCCTAGAAATGATGAGACAGTTAAAAACGATGGATAGACGTGTGGTAGTTTTTTTCAATAAGGTTAAGGAGACAGTATGGGAGTAACGGCATTGGTATGCTGTCCAAAAAATCGCGCTTACCTTTTGGTCGTTTTCTTCACTGGCGCTGTCCGACGAAATAAAACCGCTCTCAGCAGGCATATTTTTTCTGAAATTTTATTGGAACTCCAGCCATTTGAGCTCACCACAACGACCTGGTTATGTCAGAAAAAGGTGGAATGAGTGTGGAATGTCAAACGAACAGAACTTCTCTTTGAGAGTCGTCTACAAATGGAGAAAATCTTCAAAAGGTTCATTGGAAGTTTATGAAATTTTTCGGATTTTTATCCATCGCTAACATTACCGAAGACTTAACATTACATTTTCCTATCGATTTGACATCTTTACGGAATCTTGAGTTGGTTAGTCTCCACGTTACCGGACCTAGCTCCAGGTGCTGAATAAAGGAGTAGAAAAAGACCGGCAGCGCTATGAATGAAACGTTGGATGAATCTGACTAAAGGTCAAATCCTGTCGCCTGGTCGACTATAGGTTTCGTTTGTGCCTCGGGTTACATTCTGCTCGTCAATTTGCGAAAAGACTACAATAAAGATGACTAGGAAGTAAATAGCAGGCAGGCGAGTTAACTCGTTCAGGGTACTTGCTCGAAAAAAAAAAGCGCCATACCAATTCTAAGACATCTCTTTCAAATTATTTTTGAATTTTCAACAACGCAGGTTATCCAGATAGATTTCAAACTATATCACTGGTCGTATTAGAACACGGTTCAAACTACTGGAACATTCATTCGCAGTTAAGTTTACAAATAGCCTTTTTCTTGACGTTGACATCTATTAGTGTTATTTTCTGCCTTATTTAAATGTGTAATATTATAGAGAAGGAGAAGTGAAACCGTAATTAAATTGTTTAGCCAAAGTGATTTCGAATAAACGAAAAGGGCAACGAAGGGCGTATCAAAGTATGATCATATAAGATTTACGCGCCAGAAAATACCTTCCTTAAGGGGCAGTCATCCATAAAATTGCAACAATTCCCAGGATAATAGCCTTAGGTGGTGAAAAACTACACAGTAATTGTGGCACTGATCGGTGGGAAATTACACAAACCGAAAGATTGTTTTTGTCTTTCACATGACGTCACGGTTCCACCGGAGCCATTTCCCACGAACTTCGCGATGCTCGACAACAGAAGAGAAAGATGAGCGACTATGATGGAGTAGTGAGAAAGAAACGAGATACATGGAAAGGACAGAGAGGTAGACAGCAAGAGATGGATAGACAGACAGAGAGAAAAGAAAAAGAAAAAGATTAAGATGAAGTAAATTTATGTCTTTATTGCTTCTCATGGATATAGACAGAGGAAAGAAGCATTTTCTCACACTCCATCAAGTATTTTCCTGCCCTGTTTTTCGTAATGGCAAAATTTCGAATTCCATTAAGTTGTTCTACTGCTTCCGTCGAGATATCGTTAATTTCAGAAGAACAGAACTTTTTCCGTCCAGTATATCCGTCTCTTAGATATTTTCGCTCCACTTGCCATCAGGTACTTGGTGAAATCAACGTGAAGCATAGAACAAGGATCGACTGGTCCGGTTAGCGTGGGTGTTTGATGCCATTTATGGATGTGTGGACTTATCGCCTTAATAACATGCTGAATGCTGTTCGAGTACCACTGAACTCGGAAAGCCGTAATATCCGTTCTGGAGAGCTCACATTTCCACACTACAGATAACTGTGAGCTGAGCCAGGCACATTCCTTCCCCACTAAAGACCCTGCGTGGGTGGTTTCCACCAAATAACTGGAAGCTTTGAAAAGATCAAAGCGGTGAGTGCTCAAAACAAGCTGTTTATCATGTGTATAAAGGTTTATGTAGCAATTTTTATCTGCTGAGGTTACAAAAGCGTTTGTCTGAATAGTTTGTATATCAATTTCAAATTTATAGGCTCTGAGAAAGGCAAAAAAGCTGAAATGTCAGATATTGTGAATAAACAAAGGCTGTGATAACTACGTCGTGTTCCCTCAGCAAGAAAGCTGTGACTTAATAACAAATGCTGAGGTTAATGGAAAGTTTGAATTGCGATTTACCGTAGACTTGTTGACCTTTTTGGATTGAAGGCAATCTTGATGTAGAACCAGTCGGATTTTTTTTAGGACGACAGCAGTTCCTATGAAGTCAATGGATCTTGCGATTAGTCGACCGGATCATTCAAGTGTGATGTAGGAAGCGGAATCTTTTGTGCGTATATAGAAGCTATGAGCCGATTCAATGAGGTAGAAAAGACAGAAACCAAATGCATGGTCGATTTTGGTCCGCACTTAGCGTATTTTGCGCCTCTGGGAACTTCGCCTGAAGTTACTTCGAGAGCGCTGTGCAACTGTCATATGAAGGTTGTCTGACGTGCGGACTATTTGTAAATCGTAACTGTTCCGCTAAACGATAACACATATAAAACGAAGATTGATCGAACGACGGCCGCGAAGAGAACACATAAATTCACTGTCGGTTTGAAGGATTGCAATGACATATTTCCGTACAAAAACAACACTACTGAGAAATGGAAAAGACTGATAGTTTCCTTTCTGAGAGAACCCCGACTTTTCTACATGAATTTGTGTAGTGTACAGAGTAAAAAAAATAAAGAGGTGCGAAGGAAAAATTGAAATAGATGAAAAATACAGCGCTCTAGGGAATATCCTCTTAAATGGCCTTCATGGGATCATTTCTCGTTTGCTAGGATGTGAAGAAAATGTTAGGATATCTCAGTTTTCCTTAATCTTCTTAAGGAAAGTTTTGCCACACTAAGGCGTATTTAGAACCTATTTAAGCTGTGCAAGGAAGTGGTCCCAATAAGTCTATTGGTTTTTAAATTCAAAGTTAAAAATGCTATGAGTGGTATTAGACTGTTCTAGTGGTATACACTAGTACTTTACTTCCAAGCTCTTCAGAAATTTCGGCATCGAGCCCATACATAATCCACCACGTCAACGAGTTTTGCGACAATGAAAACAAAACTTTAGCAAAAAACAAATTCAACAGTTGAGTACCACAGTAAAAATTGAACTACAGCTAAATCGTCGATGAGAAAAAAATTAGCTTCATGTATGTCTGCCGTCGAACCAAAAGCCTGCCTGGGCATGCGGTGGAAACTTAAGATCACTTCATCACAGATATGGCGAAATTATAAGGACAACTAAGCTCGACCAGCAGTGAGCATCTCAATGATCATAGAAGACCACAGATAATCACGAATGAACAGTCACCTATTCACAAAAACCGCAATACCTCCATGGATGGTGGCGATAAGACAGCGAAACAAATGAGAAATTACTAGGATCAAAAGCAAAGTTAAAAATGGATTTTCTATGTATCTAACGTAATAGAGGTAAACTAAAATGTACATTGTTGGGGATGATACGCCTTTTGATGGAAAAATAATGCCGTATTCAAAAAGAATTCTGTTTTCAATGTCACCATACAGTTGTGAGGACGGCGACATTGCAGTAAAAGAAAGCGAAAAGGACAGAGAAAAGATAGGGCCACACCTTTTTCGTTCGCTACGACATGTGATGCTTCTACTCTGGACGGCGACCAGCAGCAATATCAACGGCTAAAAATAACTGTCAAAAGTCGTTTTTGTATGATCCTCAAAATGCCCAATAATGTTATAATTTCTAATCTTTTAACTTTCTATTTACTGCCTATTCTTTTTTCATAGAAGGTAACTGTGTGAAATACAACCACAGGGATTCTGGGATATGAGCGAAACCAGAAACCCCAGGTGGGTTTCGAACTCGTGACTATCCTTACCGGAAGCTCATGTGCCATCTATCATATTAACCGAAATCCTTTCTTTTTTCTCTAAGCCATGCTTTTACTCTATCGGTGCTACGTAAATGGTGAATAGAACAAGTACCCCGTCTATGGTAACCATTGGTTCGAAACCCAGCTGAGTTTCCATGTTTTGCTCATATCTCAGCATTCTTGTGACTGTACTATAATTCCCTCTCCACAATATGGTTGAAATAGAGCTGCTAAGTGGATGGCTACACTATGAAAAAGCGGCCGTAAACATTTCCTACCTTAATGCACTTCGCTATGTATCAGCAATATTCAATCTAACAATTCTGTGGAATTTAATACTTCTTATTTTGATGACAAACTTTCTTTAGTGTCGAGTTATAATAATTCAAAATTTTTCAACGAGCAGTACTTTTGAACCAGTTTAATACCCACTAGTATTTGACAGAAATCTGCATTAAAAGTAACGAATATAAAAAGTGCTTAGGAATAATGTGCTAAAAAAGTGTAAAAAAATATAGCAAATTCGATAAGTAGGTAAGGAAGCTGAATTTACGTCACAAGTACTGGCTGCCAAAGATATCTCGCTCCATCTTCCTCAATAAGGTACCTAGTTGACACAGTCCAGTATGATATGATCGCTGAAGTACTAGTTCCTTTCGATCTATTGATTTACAACCGTTATCCATAATGGTGGCCGGGCTCCTACATGGGATATATTGCAGATTATAGACCTGCGTTTTATCGTTACACGTACATTGACCCCCGGATTGTTGAGATAGGCATGCTAGCGTGCAGCCGGCTATTCACATGGGTGAAAGGAAAGTTTGCTGCTTTGGGTCTAGGATTTCTCTATAAGTAGGCGAAAAAATCAGAAATTTTCCAGTATTACCGACTAATGACCAGTGAAGAGTCATAAATGCTTTCTAAGAGTTTGAAAGCAGCTGTATTATTAAGGCAGATTTCTAAGGTTTGAAGCGTGGATGCGGTACGTGGTGAAAGACTTCATGCTATGTTTGTGAGGCTTACTTCGAAGATAAGAGAAACTGGCATCTCTATGCTGAACTAACATTATTTGCACTTGAAGTGTCACAGAAATGATGGCTCTCGAGTATTGTTAATTCAGAGTTTTCCCGACTGACTCCGAGATGCTATAAAAAGAAAGTGCTGGGATCTGTAGATTCTCATAAAGTTTAGACTCCTTTCGAAATGATGTAGAATTTATATTTACTTCGGATGGTGTCAAAATAAAGCTCTGCAAACAAAAGGCTATAACACTAAATCTGATAGTTGATTTTAACTTATAAGAGAAGCAAAAGACACAAAAGAAGTCTTCAGACTA